TCAGTCTTAGTCTGGAGCTGACAAAGCAGATGGAAAGCTGACCATACACATCTAATATAAACCCTATAGAAACCCTATATAAACCCTATATAAACCCTATAATCCCTGCAGCTTCCATTCTCTTTTCCATAATCCCAATATAACCCCATTATATTTATATTTATATATATCCCATTATAAACCCTATCGAAATCCTATATAAACCCTATATGAACCCTATACTCCTCCAGACTCCAGGCTGAGGGTGGGGACGCCAGCCTCCAGCGTGATTTGGACAGCAGTGGACAAATACGTTTGGTTTTTCCGTTCCTTTGGCATCTTCGATCTTTCCTTGCTGGCTTTGCTTTCGAGTTTCAGCAGGCCTTCGTTTCTGCTCGCAGATGAGAACCGAAATCAAAAGAGCAAGTGAAACGTACGAAGTTTCTCAAGCGTGCACACAGCCTCCGTCCCTAAACCTAGCATGATTCGTTGCAAGGACAGGAACAAGGCTGTTTCCCGCGAGCTCCAAGTCTGCACTCCTCACTCCGCAGCGCAGAGTTCCAAAAAGGCAAACCTTGAGACACAAAAAGCTGCTTCCCAGAGAATCTTCTCTACTCAACCCACATCCCAAGATCTTCATCCCAGAGAAAAGTTTTTTTGAAGCGGCCAAGCCACAACAGCTGAGATTACTGCAATCCTCGAACCGTCCAATCCCAGATCCTCTCCCTCATCCCTTCATCCAAAACCTTGAGGCCTGCTGGATGTGCTAACCGAACGGCAGCTGCGGCGATGGCGCGCAGTGCCACACCGTGCTACGGGAAGCTTTCAGAGGTGTGGGGCCGTGATCATGGCAACTAGGTAGCGATGCAGGTAGTGATTTGGCAGTCGTGAGATTAGAAGTTGCATCGAAGGCAAAGCTGTTAACTGCATTTTGCTCAATCAGTCTGCTCAATGCTTTACTGCAGGGCTGCGTAGATATGTTCGATCTGAGTGCTGGCTGGCAGTGAAGTTGGTGTGGTTTCTGGACATCTTTGCAGACGTGCGGATCGAAAGCTCCAACACTTCATAGACCTTGGAAAGGCCAACTATCTCAAAAACCTTGATGCTGCCCTCCAACTAAGCTTCAGGCTGAGGCCGTCAACAGGCCTCGCGCTCTTGCGTGCTCTTCATTTCGGCAAGGCTGGTGGTGTAGAGATGTGGAAACGACTCAGAGTCAGACCTACTTTCTGCAGCCCTCGTAAACGAGAACCAGATATGCCTCTCAAATTTTATGCAAGGGCATTGAGCGGCTCTGAACTTCAGAGCCTTGCGCTCCGATTATTTGCACTGGCTGAGAGTGTAGTGTCGGCGTGGCCTCCAAGCTCAGACCGGCCATGCATCACCTCACCACTATGGGCTATTAGACCTTAAGGGTACCTTAATCTACCCTTAATAGGGTCCTACTAGGGAATTTTGGGGTTTAATAGCCCATGGTGGCATCAGTGGAGTCTGCAAACCTTAGAGCTTGAAGGATGCCATGCCTCTCCAAGCCTCCCTACCCCACCCCTTCGCTGGCAGGTTGAGATGGTTCCTTGGCAGAAAATTGTGAATCTCTGTCCTGGATTGCTCTCAAGAAGTTGGCCAAGTTGGCTTTTCGATTGCCATTTAGGGTTCAGTGCTTCGATGGCCTTGGTGTTTGTGGATAAGTACTATGCAGGAGCTGGGAGGTTTGTGGCTTGGAGGTCTGGGACAATCAGAAGCGTCCTCGTACAGATGGATAAGGTGTCCCCTCTTTCGGGTGTGAGATTCAGTCATCCGAAGTCAGGACATTTTTCACGTGAATGCGGCCGTGGATCGTTGCGCGAAAGCGGGCGATTGGGCTGCGGACTCTTCATTGCAGTGGCCGAATACGAGGGTTTCTTAGGTTGGGGGTTCCTTTTGTGGAGTCATGAATGTAACTTGGCACTTTCTGAATCCACGAAAAGGTTCCACAAGGGATGCGTACGTGGTTGCATCTGTGCCGCAGACAAGTGATGAATTGCTCTTGCATCACAAAAACAACCAGATCTCTGCAGAGGTCCATGCCGGGTATCTATATGGTACTTTCCCAAAATAGGGGAACCCCAATATGGACCCCAATAAAATATTAACCTTGTTATGGGGACCCCCAAAAAGGTACCCCTACTTTTGGAAAGGAAACCCATATAGACCCTTGGAAGATTGTCATAGCCCAAGGTCAGCAAACGGAAAACTGGGCCTGCTATCGTACCTCCAGTAGTTCACTGCACCTTTGATGGATGCGTAACACGCGATTCGGATTCCCACCATGGGCTATTAAACCCTAAAATCCCTATTAGAACCCTATTAAGGGTAGATTAAGGTACCCTTGAGGTCTAATCGCCCATAGTGGTCTATATTTCCTATGACTTGTTTAGCAGTTTGGAGTTCCAAGAAAAGTGGCTCCTTCAGCCTCCTTCAAAGCGTCCTTTCTCCACATATGAGCTATAGTCTAAACTCTTTAAAGGGAAGTTATTAAGGGGATTATAGGGAACTACTATAGACTATAAGGGTTATTAAGGGGTATAGGAGGAGTTTAGACTATAGCTCATATATGAGTCATGTCTGTGTTGATGGGATACCTTCTGGAAACTTCAAGAAATCGTTGCAGGGATCCTTCCTGTGCATCCTGCAGGTTTTCTTCAGACAGGAAAGGAACGTCTATTGGAACTTTGGGTGCCCAAGTAACCCAGACCCCCTAAAGGATCCACAAAATGGAACCCCCTAATAATTTTCTAGTTTCCCCAGAGTAGTAATGGGTTCATATCGGGGGGGTTCCATTTTTTGGATCCTTTAGGGGGTCTGGGAAGTCTACAAGCAAACCGCGCTGAGGCCATTGCGGGTCTGGAATTAGCAGCTTCCTGGCGGTTGCAGGCAGACGTGATCAGTTTCTTGGGTCGACAAGTAGAACAGGGATTGGATTATGAGGAAGTTTAACCCAGACCCCTCAAGGATCCAAAAAATGGAACCTCCCCCAATATGAACCAATAATTAGATTGGGGAAACTAGGGGATTATTAGGGGGTTCCATTTTTTGGATCCTAAACCCTAAACCCTAATTCCTAAACCCTATATACCCTTATACAACCCTTATGAACCCCTTTAAAGGGGTTCCATTTCTTGGGATCCTTTAGGGAGTCTGGGAAAGCGGGATTGCTTCCAATTCATGAGTCAAATTCTGGATGGTGCGGAGGGTTCTGGGATTTGGCACGTCGGCAGGGGAGTAGACAAAAATTCAGGTCTTTCAGATAGGCAGTGTCGTACATTGACATTCGGGCCTGAACACAGCACAAGAAGGCCATGGGCTTTGTACGTTATAAAGTGGAAGGTTCATCATAAAGCTTGCTTGCGCTTAAAATCAAGCAGGCCGCATTTAGGGCCCCTGTGTCTGCTGACTTTTCATGACACAACCTGCCCCGAATAAGGGGCAGGTCATTTCTGAACAGCAAGGATGTGGCAGAAGCCAAGGCACATCACAAGAGACATTAACAATGAGGGGCCCAAAATCACTGTAATCCTGGTAGAGAAGATACCACTATGGGCTATTAGACCTTAAGGGTACCTTAATCTACCCTTAATGGGGTCCTAATAGGGAATTTTAGGGTTTAATAGCCCATGGTGGGATAGCAATCGCTACACCCTAAACCCTAAACCCCAAATCCTAAACCCTAAACCCCAAACCCTAAACCCTAAACCCTAAGGCTACAGCAGCATCATCAACGCCTGCGCATATCGGGCTTACTGGCCGTTGGCCATCGACGTCTTCGCTCAGATGCAGGAGGTTTGCAAGTTAGTTTAGGGGTAAGGGTTTAGGGT